AAATATGAATATATTGAGTGGATAAGACCAAGTCATAGCATACGTACATACATGATTTATAATCTACGTAGTTCTTTTTACGTATACTATAAACTACCTATGCGCTATTGATAGCCTTGCCAGTAGTAACTAAATATATATATATAGAGAAGTGAAATATGAATATATTGAGTGGATAAGACCAAGTCATAGCATACGTACATACATGATTTATAATCTACGTAGTTCTTTTTACGTATACTATAAACTACCTATGCGCTATTGATAGCCTTGCCAGTAGTAACTAAATATATATATATAGAGAAGTGAAATATGAATATATTGAGTTGATATGACCAAGCCTTAGCGCACGAACACATATTGTTGCCAATTTCACGTGTTCTTGATAGCTATACTAGTGTAACCTATGCAGCCCTATCCACATTCATGATCACAGATGCTTTTGTATTAAAAAAATGTTTTAAAATGTACTTCAATTCTACAACTGTGGTGCAAACGCAGCGGTTGACATGTTCATGAACCATTGCTCGCCCTTTCTGAATTTATGATTGACTCATTCTCATTGGGTAGCAGACAAAAAATTCGCATCGGATTGGCAGATAATTAAACATACAGTTGAGAAGTGCCGTTGATGGGGATTAGAATGTTTGTGATCTGTGCGCTGAGTGGCTTCATAAACAAATCGATGCTATCCGGATACAGCGCCTGTTCAAACTGCACATCCACAATCACCAGACTGGATGTGTACCTGTGATGTATAAGGTCAGAATTTAGCGTTTAGCATTCAGTTTGCTAGAAGTCGGCCTGAGCTTTCAGGCTCAATTTGAGGGTGTAGAAGCTAAGGATAGGAAAGTAGTCGCTAGGGTTAGCAAAATAAAAAAAGAGGCACATAGAGCAACGTAGAAACCCCTGAAATAGAAACATGGTGGTTCATTAAAAATAATTACATATACTATAAATGCAAACACGCAAACACACACACTATATAGATATATAGGTATATAGATATATAATTTGGGTTATATTTATATAGATATAGACATTTAGGATATAAATATATATATATATACATATATATGCTCATATATATTTATATACATATATATATATATGTATATATATAAATATAAATATAAATATATATATATAAATATATATATATATACATACCTATATGTATA